TATGTAATTGCTGTAATGTTTTATTGACTATACCATGTAATATGAATCTTGGGGGAGGGAAAAGCTTTGTACTTGACCACAGTCATTTATGTTAGTTAATGTAAAATGAGATGAGTCATATTATGCTCAATAGCTCATAAAACATGTAGCTATAACTTATTTTTTTAGCCCCCTCCTGGAACGTCTATCGTCAGCTTCTGTAGACGGAGACATCCATTTTCTCTAATGTGTTTCAGAATCTCTTAGTATCACATGTGGTGTTTCGTATATTTAAATTTAAGAATGAATGCGTATGTGTTAGTATTAGTTATGTATACCTGCTTACAGCTGAAATATTCAAAATTCATTGTCAGTGATGTTGAAAGCTTTAACTATATTTACTTTTAATGAAATCGTCAAGTAAATTTAGTGGAGAGCTTGCAAGGGTGAGTGGACATCTTGTCTCTGCCTGGGAAGATGTACAAGAGTTCCATTCGCCACTGAAGCAAGACTGTTTTAATTCATAATCATCAAAGATTCTGATGACTGCATTGAAATTATTGTCAGTTGTGTATTTAAGAATGTCTTTAATCATTTAAGAGAAACCTGTCAACTGCTCAAAGCCTGAAATTTTAACAGCCGAGAGTCACTAGCTCATTCTCGTCTTATGCCCCTTCAGCACAAAATGTAAAATACCATTCTGCACAAATTTTGCTCTTTAATTATTGCATTGCGAGCTCGAATATTGATGAGATTATAAGCAAGAGCCTTAAGAAATTAATCTGACCCATAACATTGATTTTTTATCGCCCAATGTATACTGCAACGGAGTTAAATGGTATGTACATAAGTTTTGATGTGACCTATGTTCATCTTGAGGTGGCGTCGGGGCGTATATGATCAGAGTTGATTTTAATAAATATTGATCAAGTAGAATGAGTGCATAACTGCTCATTCCTTCTAACAATTGACATTCCTGAAAATACTTAAAAACTCAATTGTCTACCACGCTACCATTATAATTGAGAGGATAATTGTCGAAGTTATATTCTAAAGAAAAGCTTGGGTGGTGGCAGCCCAAGATGTACGTGTTGTGATCATACGAAGGTGTAAGAATAGAGAAGGATGTGGTTTTCCAGGTTAATCCACAAAATAGAATATAACTAAGTAAAGCTGAGAATAAAAGGAAGTAAGAGAAACTAAACAAATAAGTAAGAGTATTGAAAAATATACAATAAATAAAGAAAAGAAAGACTTAGAAAATAAATCAAATAAAAGAAATATAACTAAGAAGGTTACAGACATAGAACTAAGAGACAACAGCCAAATATTAAAAAACTGGGATCTTACAAAATTAGTTAGGACATTTTTCATCACACCTTGAAATGTTTTCATTCGTGTGATATAGTTGTTTTAATTGCTCCTCATCTGTCATTGGTTGGTGAAACAGCTTATCACACATTATCATCTTTCCCAGTAGATATCTGTTGTTTATGTACAATTGCCTGGCGCGTTTTGTAAGATAAGGGCAACTTTGTCACATACAGGGATACTACTGCTTAGTTTGGTTGCTAAAACAGTCAGCATGCTATACATTGTGACTACTGAATCAGCGAAATCGCCAATTTACTGCCTGTCTATGAAACGGTTTCAACGATTTTTATCAACGGAACATGTTAAGTCATGTGACCGCACCTTAACAGGGTCTCCCATTCCTGCTGGGTGTAGGGCAGGAGGCCGGGTTACTGAGTCAGCTGGAGAGAGAGGTGATGAAGGAAGAGGACCAGAGGAAGATTGAGATCTGTGGTAGAGGAAGAGCTGCACTTAGAGGAGGAAGAGAAAGACAGTGAGAGAGGAAGAGGAGGATAATGGAAGAGGAAGAGGACTTATAGAAGAAGAGGAGGAAGACAATGGAAGAGGAAGAGGATCCTAGAAGGACTTGTAGAGGAAGAATAGGACAATATTTATGAGTGACAAACAGAAATTTAAAGTGAGACAGAGAAAAAAGTGAGAGAAAGGCAGAAAGAGAGTGAGAGAAAGAGAAAAACAAGAGATAAGGTGAGCCAATAGTGAGATAAAGAGAGCACAGTCATTAGAACACATGCCTTTATATGATTCAACAGGTGTTTATATTATATTAGTTTCCAATTTAAGAAGCGACACATTTTTTTTTCTTCAATAAACATGGGAATAAATTTAAAACTATTTGAAACTATATAACATTGAAAGGTTCCAGTACACTATATATAAGACGTGCACACTGATTGATTTGCAAGATGTTGAATTTAATGCTAGAACCAGGTTGACCTCTGCAGCGACCTCTCCCTTAGTAGCTATGGTGAGGAGGTCGAGGTTTTATGGCGACTTGGGTTCTGTCGAGAGTCCAACCAGGATGAAGGCACTGTGTAGGATAAACCAGGAGCATCTTTTACAGACTAAAGATTGAGAGGCTAACAGGACACAAGAAGGCCAATTACCTACTTACGTACAATGGAACAATAAGGGGGGGAAGTGCGGGTAGGTGGCTGTGAAGAGCTAATCAACATACGCCTCGCTGCTCACGTGATCCAGACAGGGAGAGACACCTGGTGGCGGCCGGCGGAAGTTGGAATCAAGCTGAACAGGTGAGTGGAGAGGAGCGTGTGGGAAGGTTCAGACTGGGGCGTATTAGTGCTATACTGGAGGCTGCTGGAGCACGTCTTCCTACCCAGTACTTCTCCAATATTCATCGTCGGTCTTTCTGAATCTTTTTTTTTTTTAGACCTGTGTCGTATAGGCTGGTTCTGAAGCGCAAACACACTGACACACACACATATACATCATTCCTTGTTGTACTAAATTTCCTTTTAGTCATTCTCGATCAAATTCTCTAAAGTGACCAAAAAATAAGTAAACGCGAAAATATCTGTGAAGTAGAGTACTGCAGTAGCCAGGCGAAACACAAGTACTGTTTACATAATTCATGCTAAAATATCTATTATCGTTTTAAATTTGACATCCAGTTATATAGAATAAAGTAGCTACACTTAGCCCGCTTTTCGAAAAATAGTTACATTATTAATGGAAAAATCCCTGACATCTGTGATCTGTAAAATAATTGATGGAGGGTCGAGTGTTGGTGACTGTATACACTAGGAGGAAGCTCCACTCAACATGTGTTTGAGATGAGAACGAAGTACAGTAGTAATGTGAAGACGCTATGAGTTATGGAGGCAAGGTGTTTTCATCAACTACGAGATGTCACTAAAATATATAATTATTTCACAAGATACATCTCCGAAATTTATAATCTCCCGAACTATTAAACATTACACAAAACACGTATCCATCTACATTTGAAACTATAATTTGCAAACCCCTAACACTGCCAAAAAGAGCGGGGAAAAGTTCCCAATTTCAATATGCGACGCAAATATCACGCCCGTAGAATAGGCGGGGGTGAAACCTGCATAAAAAAGATTGAGATCAAATATTTGACTGTGGGACTGGCTAGGTCAGCTGGGCTGGTGGCTGAGGTGCGCCACACACAGGTGGTGGTGGTGGTGGTGGTGGTGTGATGGTTGTAGTTCAAATGCCACACATAAACTAGTAAAGGAAGGCTGTGCTGAGTGGAAACATTTTAGTGAAAAAATAAAATCCCATGAGTCATCAAATGAACTCTTGTTCAATCTTAACCAACTGGATGGAAGAGAAAGGAAGGTTGTGTTTAATGAATACTATAGATACACGTATGTTATAAGAATTGATTGAAGAAAAAGAACATTGGCGATCTGTTTAACACTATAGCAGCTGTCTAGCACCTACGTATTGACGAAGCAGAGTTGTTTTCAGAGCTTCGAGTACTCTGAGAACTCATTCCCTTAGAAACAAAAGATGTACTTAAGGCGTTTGTTTAACTTTCTAAAATCTCTAAATGGTTCCTTCCCGAACGCAGAAATAGTGTATTAAATTTTGTTGACAGTCAGAGAGACAGTGGCATGAGGGGAGCCCCTGAGAGGGCCCCTCGGGGCGCCACCCCCAGAAAGGACACCTGGGGGCACCGCCCCTGATTAGGCCCCTGAGGGCACTGCTTCTTTAGGGCCCTTGGGGGTGTCTCCTCTGGTAAGGCCCCTGAAGGCGCCGGCCCTGGTAGGCCCTCTGGGGGTCCCGCCCCTGGGAGGGCCAATGGTAGGGCCAGTGGTAGCGCCCCTGGGTTCGTCGTCCCTAGTAGGGCCCCTGGGGGCCCCGCAACTGGGAGGATCCTAGGGGCGCCGCAACTGGGAGGATCCTGGGGGCGCCGCCCAAGGGAGGGTCCCATTGCATTTCCAGTATAATCGCACCATGAACAGTGTAAAGGGGAATAAATATTCAAAAGGAAAACATAAGTTGAGGTGTTGTGCTGACTGACTGTTCTGTTCTCCTATTGGCTGTAATTTGGTGTATTTACATTTTAGTCCACCAATCACAGTTAAATAAAGGATTGCTGGACGTATGCATTATGTACAACAACACGACCAAGCAAGTTATAGGGCTTCTGGGAGGGGGCGCCCCTAGTACGGCCCCTGGGGGCACCGCTGCCTCTGAGAGAGCCCCTGGGGTGACTCCCGCCTCTGCGAGGGCCCTTGGGTAGCCGATGCCCCTGAAAGTGCCGCATGGGGCGCTGCCGCTCCTAGGAGGGCCCCTGGGTGCACTGCCGCCACTGAGAAGTGTCCTTAGGTTCCAACGACCCAACTTGGCCCCTGGGGTTTCCGACACCCTTGGCAGGGCCCCTAAGGGGGCAGCCAGCTCCTAGGAGGACCGCTAGGGTCGCCACTGCCTCTGGGAGGGCACTTGGGGTCGCCGACACCCCTGGGAGGGCCCCTGGGTTTACCGACGCCTCTGGGAGGCCTCTGGGGTCGCCACTGCCTCTGGGAAAGCCCCTGGGATGACTGCCGCATCTGCGAGGGCCCCTAGGGTAGCAGATGTCCCTAAGAGGGCCCCATGGGGCGCTGCAGCTCCTGGAAGGGCCCCTGGGGGCACTGCCTCTGGGAGAGCCCTTCGGGTCACTGGCGCCTCTGAAAGGGCCCCATGGTTAGCCAATGCCCCTGAGAGAACCCCATGGGACGCTGCCACTCCTGGCGAGGGTCCCTGGGGGCACTGCCGCCGCCGAGAAGACCCCTGGGGGTGCCGCTGCCACTGGGAAGCGTCCTTTGGTCTCCAACGCCCCTGGGATAGCCCCTGGGGTTTCCGACACCCTTGGCAGGGCTCCTAGGGGCGACGCCAGCTCCTAGGAGAGCCCCAAGGGTCGCCACCGCCTCTGGGAGGGCCCTTGGGGTCGCCGACACCCCTGGAAGGGCCTCTGGTGTCACCGACGTGTCTAGGAGGGCCCCTGGGGTCGCCGAAGCCCCTGGGATGGCGCCTGGGGGCGCCGTACCTGGTAGGACAAATGGGAGGGCTCCAGGGAGCGCTGCCCCTGTAGGCTGCTGGGCGCAGTTGTTTTTGCATTATTTAGAACAATGGAAGATATGACTTTAAAAAAATACACCGCCCATCGCATTTCCAGTATAATCGCACGATGAATAGTTAAAGGAGATTAAATATCAAACAGGAAAACATAAGTTGGGGTGTTGTGCTGACTGACTGACTGTTCTGTTCTCCCCTACCAGGTGCGGCACCACCAGGGGTCCTCCCAGGAGTGCCAGATACCCCAGAGGCCCTCCCACGAGTGGCGGAACTTCCAGGGGCCCTCCCAAAGGCGGCAGTGCCCCCAAGGGCCCGCCCAAAGCTATTGGTGCCCCAAAAGGCTCATCCAGGGGCGGCGATGATCCCAGGGCCCCTCTCAGGGGCGGCGGTGAACCTAGGAGCCATCCTAGAAACGGAGGCAACCCCAGGGGCCCTCCCAGGGACGGCGATGCCCCCAAGGGCCCTCCCGGGGGCGTCGGCGGCACCATTGGCCATCCTAGGGTCGGCAGAGCCCCCAAGAGCCCTCCCAGGGGCCCTCCCAGGGGCCCTCCCAAAAGTGGCCACACCCAAAGGGCGGCGGAGACCCCAGGGGCTCCTTCACGGTCGGCGGCGCTGTTAGGGGCCCTCACAGGAGCAGCAGCGACTCCAGGGGCCCTCCTCGGGGAAGCGGAGTCCCCCAGGGGCCCTTGCAAGTGCGCCGGCGACTCCAGAAGCCCTCTCAGGGACGACTGCACCCCCAGGAACGCTCTTAAATGAGGAAGCGACCCTAGGGACCATTATAGAGGCCCTCCCAGGGGCAACGGCTCTCCCAGAGGCCCTCCTAGGGGCGGTGGTGACCCCAGAGTTTCTCCTAGGGACGGCGGATTTACCAAGGGCCATCCCAGGAGAGGTGGTGCCTCCAAGGGCCTTTGCAGGTACGGCGGCGACTTCAGGCGCCCTCCCAGGGGCAGCCGTGCCTTTAGGGGCCCTTCCAGTGTTGGCGGTGACCCCAAGAACACCCCCAGAGGCGGCGGCGGTCCCAGGACCCATACCAGAGGCACCCCCTCCCAGGAGGTCTATAACCTGCTTTTTTTTTTTAATTGATTTGTAGGATTATTACCTACGCGGACCTTAAGCTAAAGTGCTGGTCCACCCACTGCTGGGATAAAACACCAGCGTCTTTTTGGTTAAATGTACATCACCACCAGTGTGGGGGGGGGGGATGCTCGGTAAGAAACTGTAGGGTTTCTTGAGAGTGGTTGGTGGTTAGCTTTCTGGCAACCTTCTCTGCTGTGATAGGGGGTTGTATGTTTCTCCTAGCTAATTGTGTTTCAGGGCATTCTATGAAGTAGTGCTGCAGTGTGTTTTCTGCTCCGCTGTGGCAGGTCTTGCATATGCGCTGCTCTGCTGGTGCTGATACAATTATTTCCCAAATGCATGGGTATCCCAGTCTCAGTCGGTGGAAGTTGACTTCTTCCCTTCTTGTTATATCCTTAATGAGTGGTGGTCTCTCATAATTCGTGACCAGATAGTACCACCTGGCCGATCGTGATACTGGTGTTAATTTTCTATGTTTCTCTATTTTCCACTGGGCAGTTCGTGTTATTGTGGTCTTCTTTATCTGCTCCTGACTGGGCGGGATGTTCATCTCGATGTTTCGCTGTTCTAACGCAGCCTTGGCAGCAGCATCAGCTCGTTCATTTCCTGGGATTCCGATATGACTGGGCACCCAGTTAATGATAACTTGCCGATCTTGTAGTTTTAAACCTTGCAGTAGTCCAACAACAGATGTTATAAGATGAATGTTGTCTCTATGCTCTCTGCATTGTAGTGCTTCAATAGCACATCGTGAGTCAGTGTGTATTACAACGCCTTGTTGATTGTTTATGGAAGCGTGTCTTAGGGCTCCAAGTATGGCAGCTAGCTCAACTTGCAAAGTAGAGCATCCATCTGAGGTTCTCCAAAGGGACGTGTTACCTCCTTCTATAGTGAAGGCTGCTCCTGCCTTCGTACTGGTGGTCTCTACAGAACCGTCTGTGTAATACACTGTACTATTGTGAGGTGTTAGAGCCTTCATGTTTCTCTCTGCCATCTGTCGGAGCTCATGTGGGTTACAGTCAGTCTTTCTTGTCCCAGTTTGTAGAATGTTGAAGACTGCTGGCGGGGACTCCCACGGTGCTGGGGTGCTATAGTCTGGACTCATTGTATCAGGTCCTTTGCTGAGGATTGTGTCTTTCAATTTCAGTCGATTTACAGCGTCAGCTGCTCACAATAGTCATGTTTTCTTGTTAAAGACATCTCTGTTAAGGTTCAGTGCTCGTAAGAGTCCATTCTTGAATGTCATCCTCCCGAACCCTGGTAATCAGTTTTGTTGCAAAGCACGCTGTTAATCGTTCCGCTCTGGTTTGGAGAGATGTGAGACCTGTCTCCATGTGTAAGTTTTCAATTTTTGTCCACATAGGTGCCTTGACAATGGCTCTCATAGCGTTATTCTGGGCAACTTCTAATTTCGCCCACTGCCCCTCAGACAGTGTGTTAAGAGCCGGTGTGGCGTAGTCTGTTAATGATCGAATGGCGTGTATATATTGCGTTCTTAGGACTACATGTCCCGCACCCACCTTGGGTCCTGTCGTGGCTCTCATCATGTTGACTCTTGCCTATTCGGTCTCTTAGATAGTTTATCTCAGTGTCAAATTTGAGGCGTTTGTCAATCCAGATGCCCAGGTATTTGTATACATTGACCCATTGTAAGGCAATACCTTGTATTTGAAGTTGTGTCACCGGCTCATTGTGTCCAATCCTCATGGCTTTCGATTTGGGGATTGATATCTTGAGCCCGAGCCTCATACATTCTTCACTGAGGAGGTCTAGTGCTCTTTGGACTTTGCTGATTTGGTTTCTGCCTTTTACTATCAGTGCTAAGTCGTCAGCATAGCACAGCAGTTTGGTACCCTCTTGAAAGGGGAGCCGACACAAGTTTTCCATGAGGATGTTGAAGAGAGTTGGACTAAGAACTCCTCCTTGTGGTGTGCCATTTTCCAGTCCTTCCTGATCTGAGGCTTGTCCTTGACAAGTAACTCTTGCTGTTCTGTTTTGGAGATAGTCAGCAATCCAAGCCAGTAGGTATCCTTTGACGCCTTTCCGGGCCAGAGTGGTTACAATGGCCTGTGCATTTGCCAGCTCAAATGCTTTCTCTAGATCAAGGAATACTACGATTGCCTTATTTTGACCAATCGATCCCAGGAGAGTGGCCAAACTGTGTGCAATGCTGAGACCTTTGGTGAATCCAAAGATATTGTGGTGAAGTGGTTCAGTTTTCCAGAGGAGTAGTGTAAGGACCATCCTTTCGGCGGTTTTGCCGATGCATGCTGTTACTGATATTGGTCTGAAATTCGGGGGATCATTGGGTTTGGGAATAGGAACAATGTTTGCTCCTTTCCAAGATGACGAGAGTTTGCCTGCTGACCATGATGCGTTGATAACTGTTAGGAGAGCAAGTTCACCAGCAAGTCCTGCATTGCTGAGCAATGAATAGGTTATACCATCACTGCCAGGAGCGGTGTCTTTGCTTGTTTTCCTGGCCCTTCTGATTTCGTCTATAGTAAACAGACAGTCTGTAGTGTCAGCTTGTTCAATTGCATGTCTGACTACTACTTCTCTCTCCAGTTGTACTTGCTGTAGATGAAGTCTTATTTCAGGAGGTAGTTGAGCTGATGCAAGCATTCTGCAAAGTGCTCTGCCAAGCGATTTGCTTCCTGTAGTGGCTGGGGGCGGGCTGAAGCTTTGGGCAGTTTTCCTGTTGCTATCCTGAGTTTTCTCCAGAGTTCACTCAGGCTGGTGTGTGCATTAAAGGTTGCACACCACTCGAGCCATTTGTCTTCCCTAATTTTCTGCGTAATTTGACGAGCATGTTGGACAGCAGCTCTCAAGAGTTTCACTCCCTCAGGGGAAGGGTATTGTCTGAATGTGTTGATTCTGTTCTCTGACTTCGTCATTGTAGAACCAGTAGTCTTTGTGGTGTCTATTTGTAGGGTTTGTTTTTGGTATTGCTTTCTCTGCTGAATGTTGTATGGCATCAGTAAGGTCCTGGTTTAGTTGGTCAATATCTTCTGCTGGTTCATAGTTCGAAAACCATTTTTGGAGTTCATCTTGATATAATTTCCAATTTGCTTTCTTGGTATTCCATCTGGGTGGCGGATGTGGGGGAGGAGGGAGTAGTTCCATTCTCAAAGTAGTTGTCGTTGCAAAGTGGTCACTGGTCAGTTCATCATCTATCTCCCACTGAGCTACTGGAACGAGCTCAGTGGAGATGAATGTGAGGTCCAATGTTCCTCCCATTATGTGTGTTGGTTCCCCAGTATTCATGAGCGTTATTTCTGGAACAGCTGTCAGCAGTTCCACTAGGTGATGACCATCCTGGTTCATTCTTGTGGTCGAATTGAACGTTGGATGGTGGGCATTGAAGTCCCCAGCAATGAGCACAAGTTCCTGTGTTGCTTGTGTCAGTAGTTCACCGGCTTCTAGTCGTTTGGTAGGCGGTTTATAGATATTGTATACTACAAGACTGTCGTTTGCCAGGTGTATCCGAACAGCTTATGCCTCTACTCCATCTCCACAGTGAACTGGTTCTACTTCTGAACTGGGGATGGTCGCCCTGACGAGAATCATGCTGCCATGGGAGTTGGGCCCCTTTGGTACAGAGTACTGTTGGTATCCAGGCAAGCGGAATTGTTTATCTTTGGTCATCAGGGTTTCTTGCAGAATGAAGACATCAATATTTTTAGCTATGGCTGCTGCTTGTACAGTATGCCGTTTGTTGGACAGGCCTTGTACATTCCACTGTGTTATCTTGAGATTACAAGGAGTTGGGGCTATCCTATCATTATCTCCTCGTCGCTGGTGCTGTAGTTGCTCTCGGCGTTCATGGTTGAGTCGCTCTCCTCCTCGACAGTTAGTAGTGGTGGCTGTTTCTTGGGCACCTGCTCTGAGGGAGGAGCAGGAGGTGGAATTCCGCTTGTTTTGGGAGGTATCTCGGGAGTTTTTTTTTCTCTCCTCAGGGTGCTGTCGCTCTTGTCTGTGTCGCTCTTGTCTGTGATCGTGTGTTTGCTGATGTGTTCTTCTCCTTTCATTTTACCATCCAGATATTCGTTTCTGTTAGTATTCTTATTTATTCATATACTTATATGTTCTTTGTAGCATTCTTTTCAATGAGTATCCTGTTTATATAGTTATCCTTCTTCAATTATTTATTTATAAATATACTTTATATTCTTATTTCGTATTCTTATATAAGTAATTCTTGTCTTAGTTATGTATGTGTTTTGTATTAAAGTTTCATGGTGTGTTTATTTAATAATTTCTATGCTGTGGTTTTAGTTCCACAATGTACATACATGTCTTATCTTTCTCTTCTTGTACTTTCCAAAGTTTTCATTTGTTTCATATATATTATATTCTCAGTTTCAATGTTTCTACCTTTCTGAAGTATACTCTGTTTTACGTCTATTCTTATACATGGGTTAGTCTAACCATGTTATTCTTAGTACAATACTTTTATACTTACAAAGGGTAGCTGCCACCACCCAGACTTTTATTATATAACATAACTCATGGAAAGTTTTTAAGTAGGGTAGATGTATAGGCACGTGAATAAGTATTATTTTCTGGGAACCAATGTAAGGAGTATGGTGATACTGTAGATTACTAATTCAATATTTATTAACACAGTGAGTGGATAAGATGCATCTTAGATTCATTAGACAAAACAGAACCACAATTTACTTAAGTCATCAAACACTTCAAGAACTTATTACCTTATTAAATACCTCCAAATATTTTACTTCATTAGACAATTGTGAATTATTACTGACAAATGAGATTCCGTAATTATTATTCACAAGATATCACAGGACCCTCAGGTCTTACTTAACAAGTAACAAATTACCTCTTCAATTCTTGGTTATAACATTATTCTCTCAGGTTATTTTTTCATGGTCACAGACGAATACATAACACACTGGACAACTCCACAATTATAGTAACATACAAAC